CCATGGGCAGTTTTGACGGGGCTGAGACATGCGAGTTAGTGGGATCGTATCTTCTTTCACAACTAACGGCAGAGTACGGCAATGATATCGGTCTGTACAGAGATGACGGCCTCGCAGCCTTTGACAAAACACCGCGTGAAATCGAGACCATTAAGAAAAGCATTTGCAAAGTTTTCAGTGACAACAACTTGAAAATAACCATCGAAGCCAACAAAAAATGCGTGAACTATCTAGACATTACACTTGACCTTAGATCGTCATCTTACAAGCCATATATGAAACCCGGAAATACACCGCTATATCTCAACCACAACAGCAACCACCCGCCTACAATACTACGCAGCATACCAGATGCTATTAACAAGAGGCTATCAAACATATCCTCAGATAAGCAATCCTTCCAGTCGGCCGCGCCTCCATATCAGGAAGCCCTGCGAAAGAGTGGTTTTAACTACGTCCTTAATTACAATCCCCAGCCACCAAAGCCTAAACGTAATAGAAGCAGAAACGTGATATGGTTTAATCCTCCCTACAGCGCCAACGTTGCCACCGACATTGGTCACAAATTTCTGCAGGCTATTGATGAATGCTTCCCACCACACCATCCCTTACATAAACTGTTCAATAGGAACAATCTTAAATTAAGCTACAGCTGTATGCCCAACGTGCACAATATCATCACGGCGCACAACAGAACTGTACTCGATCGCAAGCAGCCCGAGGCTACTTAAAATCCCGATAGGAAGTGTAATTGCCGTCAGGAAGAATCCTGCCCCCTCCCTGGCAAATGTTTAACCGAAAGCGTTGTATACCAAGCCACAGTAACGAGAAAAGACAACCAACAGAAAGAAACCTACGTTGGACACACAGCGGGCCCATTTAAAGTGAGATACTACAACCATACAAGTTCGTTCAGGAACCCGGATCATAAACATTCAACTGAACTGAGTAAATATATTTGGCAGTTGAAACAGTCCAACATAGAATACTCTATTCGTTGGAAAATTTTAAAGAAATGTAAGGCCTACTCAAACAAAACAAAACGTTGTAAATTATGCCTGCACGAAAAGTTCGTTATAATTTACTATCGAACGAACACTAATGATCGGCATGTAGGCACAGGAAAAAATTCCTGCTCTGTAGCCAGTAGTCAGATTACGCTTTCCTAATGACGTCAAACATTTGTATATAACAGCTCAAGTTACCTATAGGTTATAACATCATGTAAATACGCGATATCACCATTCACCTGATGAGTGTGGCAAGCCTAGCTTGCCATACGAAACAAATTTGTTGTGAATAAATGTTTTAAACGAAGTAACTCAAGCTTGTCTTTTATATATATATATATATATATATATATATATATATATATATATATATATATATATATATATATATATATATATATATATATATATATATATATATATATATATATATGAAATTTGGTTTTGTTGGTTATAAAAACTTTTATTTGGCAAAGTGCTCAATGGAAAACCAGAGCATATTTAAATTAAGGTACAACAAATCAACAAAATCCACTAGGCATCTTTATTACTAAATAGTTTCGTACCACAGTATGTGGCACTCTTCAGATAAATTGACCTAATGACAATTAGGTCAATTTATCTGTAGACAATTAGGTCAATTAGGTCAATTTATCTGAAGAGTGCCACATACTGTGGTACGAAACTATTTAGTAATAAAGATGCCTAGTGGATTTTGTTGATTTGTTGTACCTTAATTTATATATATATATATATATATATATATATATATATATATATATATATATATATATATATATATATATATATATATATATATATATATATATATATATATATATATATATATATAGCTTAAGATTTTGGTTTACGAAACACAAACAGTGCTCAATACCATATAGATAGAGCGTAATATAGTTTTTCGTTTTACCTCAAAGAACCACAACAGTCTGTTTCATCCGTATAGGAATCATCAGGTGACCACCTGATGATTCCTATACGGATGAAACAGACTGTTGTGGTTCTTTGAGGTAAAACGAAAAACTATATATATATATATATATATACAGTATATATATATATACAGTATATATATATACAGTATATATATATATATACAGTATATATATACATATATATATATCTGCCTGCCTCATATTACCTGCCTCCTCATATCCGCCTTCCCATGACATAACGAGGGTCCGCGGAGGAGGCAGGCAACTAGCGTCTTTTCGAGTTCATATATAGCCTACGGTGTAGACCCCAGCAGAAACACGTTTCGTGAGGGGTCTACGAATAAACGAAGAAAAGCTTGCCCGGCCTACGTCATATCCGTTTTGCGTTTTGGGTAAATTAACTTCAATTTATTCAAATCTCTGAAGCGTGCGTGAATGTAAATTTTCATTTGGCGCTTATTAAAATGTTCCATGGCGGGCTTTGTGCAATAAAATATACCCTGACTATAAAAATACCCAACCATTAAACACATATTCGAACGGACTAAAAAGTTCTTGTCATTCGTACAAACTGTTAGGCTTGAAGGCTTAAAACTCGTCAAGATATCTAATTTCCGAAGTCGAAGACAAAGTCAATTTCACACTATTAAATGTAGCCGGCATAAAAGCTTTATCGCAAGTCGGCTCGAATCCTAGTTGGTTCACGACATTTATCAATAGCGTTTAATGCTGTTTCGGGCACGTTGGTTATCGTATTGTCTAGGCTCTAGCTCACATATTAAACCGTTCTTTGAAGCTTCTCCGTTTCACCGTTTGTTTACCAATGCCAGGCGGCCAGGCATGCTTTTACAAATGCTATTTGTAGGTGAAATGGAGAAGGAATTGGAAAGGTCGTCTAACTCCTTACGTACAGTGTCCTTGCTGTCCAAGAATTTTATTCGACGGAACTTTGAAGCAAAGAACACATTTGTATTGGACAAAGCCGGACTTAGCCCGCCATGGAACATTTTAATGCCTTTACAGTAATAAGTGCCAAATGAAAATTTACATTCACGCACGCTTCAGAAATTTGAATAAATTGAAGTTAATTTACCCAAAACGTAAAACGGATATGACGTAGCCGGGCAAGCTTTTCTTCGTTTGTTCGTAGACCCCTCACGAAACGTGTTTCTGCTGGGGTCTACACCGTAGGCTAGTTCATATATTGCTAAATATTGCTATATCATGGATAGCATGGGGAAAAATGATATAAACGTCGTTCCGGACTCTGGAATCTCACTCTCTTGGAACAGCGCCGCCGAAGCAGCATTCGAAAATTTTAACATCACGACGGCAATAGGGAATAATTTAGAATGGCAAGGGACCTATCTTGGCGAAGGAGCTTTTGGCAAAGTGATTAAGGTAAAACATCGAACAGACAATCACTACTATGCTGTAAAATTGATGTCATGTATCCCAGGAATACGAGAAAAATACCAAGAACGCGAACTAAAATTGCTGACTGAACAAGTGTCTTCACCCACGACCAACATGAATATCGTCAAGTATTATGACAGTTGGAAATGCACAGTGACAACATTACCTTACCTGTGTATACAAATGGAACTTTGTGATATTAGCCTTGAAACTCTGCTGCAGACGCAAAAAGGGGTCGTTGACGATTCACTTTTTTATTGGAATCTTTTCCCTCAGATTTTACGTGGTTTAGAATACCTTCACAATACGATTTCTTGGGTGCACAGAGACATCTATCCACCAAATATTCTGCTGGCAATTCCAGAACACGTCGACCAACCTATACATTTAAGAGTGGTTAAAATTGCTGATTTTGGTCTAGCCAGAAAGCTTGGTGAATCATCTCTTATTGTTTCTGATCCACCAGAGGAAGTACTTTCTGCTGTTGGAAACAAGCTCTACCGAGCACCTGAGATGAAGCCAAAAAAGAAACCTGATTCTGACACTGGTACAGAGAATCCTGATCCTGATAACAGTACAAAACTAATTTATGATTTTAAAGTTGATATGTATAGTGCAGGTCTGGTTTTGTATCGTATGTGCTGTTACTTTGAAAATTATAAAGCTATCACAAGTGAACTTCAGAGGATACAGGATGGTGGATTTTTCGACAAAGACAAGCTGTCCAATCAACATGATATTTTGTATCAATTGCTGGATGGCCTTTTGAAGCAAAACCCTGAAGAGCGGCTAAGTGCTTTGCACGCCCTTGCCTGTTTTGAAATGTCTTCATCACCTCTATTGCAAGACACACAACTATCAGCATCTTCTAAACGATTACCTCCAGATTTTTTCTCTGAAACTGATGGGCCCAAGACTCCAAAAGTTTTGGCCAGAAAAAGCTCTTCCTCACGTTATGTTCGTGTTCATAGCAATCATGCAAGTAGCTATGATGCATTGTTAACATGCTTAATTGAAGATCTTGAAATCAATGACATTGAATGTTTTGATATATTACTTGAGGAATCTGACTGTCGGCAAAAAATTAGGAACAGCAGAGATTGGGAGATATTGCTGTCCAGTGCCAACGAAAGAAACTGTGCAGTGAAATTGGTTGTTGAACCAAAGAGTGAGGAGGAACCTGACTTATGCTGAAGTTTGACCAATTTTCATTTTACTTAGAGTTTTATGCACAGGTCTGTTAAATATTACATACTTAGCTTAGTCATTGATGACTGATTAGTTCAAGCATTTCAATTTTAGATTGAAAATATATGTATTGCATTAGAGTGATTAGACAGTAAAATGAAAAAGGAGAAAATGATGTGTCAGAGTGCAATGCAACCCAATGGGTTGACTAGACACATTGCCAGATAGACTTAAGTTACCATATAGACCTGTAACTCATTAGGTACCTGGTGCTCTCTCCCTAATGAGTAAAATCATCTGGTGGAATAAAATAGTAGGTATAACCAAGGGCAGATTTACTGGGGGGTTAGGTGGGGTTAACCCCCTCTTGGAATCTCAGTAACCCCCCGTATAAAGTGTTCAACCCCACCAAAATTTCGCTTCACCCTTCCTATTTTATTTGAAAGTCTTTAACACCATTTTTTTATTAAACGGCCAAAGAAAAAAATTTGAAATTATCAAATGCACGAAAGCTGTATGTATTGTGAACAAATTATGCCTGCACAACCTGTTCTTGGCCGGTGCACCCGTTTCTGTGCACAGACAGCCTGTTTTCAGCCCAATTGCTGACAACTTTTGTTTTGGGAGAGTTGTATCCCAGAGTTACACAGCATGCAGCTATGCACCTCACTTAAAGTTCTCCCCCTCCTGCTAAAAAAATCCACCCTTGGGTATAACAGGCCATAATTAATATATATATTAACTATGAACAGGCACATTGTATAACATGATTGACGTCACACAAAGTTTCTTTTGATTTTTACAACAGGACAGAACCACTGGGCCATATATAAATTATACTGAAGAAAGTGCTCCTATCTTTCTGTCTGTGACAAAGTGAATTAAAAAACATGTTGGATTTTGATGCCATTTGAGGCCATTTTCATGACAGCGATTACTTTGTTTTCATGGTATTTGCCAATGAACAGCTCAATTTTGAACCTGCTATACACAGCAAAAAATAATGTGCCTGCTGTAATTGGCAGGATTGATCAATGTTGTGCTGGCCAGATTGTCCATAGTTGTCAACAATATTGTTTAGGCTGAATCGGGCATCAATCCTGTTATAATGCAGGCTCAAATTTTTTGGCACTGTAAATGGCCAAAAACTATGAGCCTGCAGTATAACAGGCTCGAACAATGTTGTGCTGCCCACAATGTTGTGCTGCCACACCAGATTGAGGCTTGAAATAATTGTTGACAACTATGAAAGTGGGCAGCACAATATTGTTGAAGCCTGTTATGAACAATATTGCAATAACAATTTTACACGTGTTAGCTTAGGATTACAGCTGGTCAGTGGTAAATACCATGAAAATAAAGTAACTGCTTTCATGGTAATGACTTAAAGTCATACCACTTTTGGCTTCACTTTTTTCAGCGAGCACTTCCTCCAGTTATATAGTATAGCTCAGTGACACAATACATACATGAAACTTGTAGCAATTGTGTTAGACTTGCCCACAAGTCGATTCCAAAACGGACTTTGAGAAAGTCTACAATTGTGTCTACTGAGCTATACATTGGCCGTTTTTATACTAGAGACGCATTATGCGGATGGACGAACTTGGGCAAACATTTGTTGTTCGTCTGGTTATGCGTCTAATAAGTATTTAGTTTAGTTCAGTAAAGTTCACTCACTAGCTCGGTGTAAGCATGGGCGTACCGGAACGAAAAATTTAGGGGGGCGGAAATAAATTTGCCCAATTTTGCCAGACAAGTGCCAGAAAAATGTTTTCCGGATTTTATTTTGGCACCCCCCCCGTCGCCAAAAAAATTTCGGTCAGTGTATCATTTTAGAGGTCAAAAAATTTTTATATTGCCCAACTGCCCAACAAACTGGGGCTCACCCGCCCCTCCCCCCGCCCACCCCTGGGTGTAAATTTAAATATGTTCTCACACCGAGAAAGTGCCTATGAAGTATATATGGGGTGAGGTATTAATTGGGACGTAAGTCCTGTTCCACATTCCAGTCACGTGTGTTGTCTTGTAGCTTGTTATGTATATTGTTTATCAGTGTCATTGTAAATATTTGTGACAAATTTAATAATAATAATGATTATTATTATTAATAATAATAATCACGTTTATTTTGTATTACCAGCTTGGATAAGTTTACATGTACATAGTCAATTGAAAATAATTTCGCCGTGAAAGGCTTGTTTGAGTGCATACCGGAAATATAATTGTTTGGTATTTGTGGAAACATCACGTTTATTGACTTTATTTTGTATTTAATACTAGCTTTCGATCTGTAAGCCTGATTGGATCTTAACCAATGTCAATGTAATTATAGCACCCAATTCAGACCGGACTTGGATCGAAAACTTCGCCAAAGAAATAAACCGTGTCTACAAAACAATTATTTATTTTTACCATGCGAACCTAAAAAGTCAAGGTGGTTATTGTGCTTTATAACATGGGTTTTCAACTTGTATTGGGGGACATGTCCCCGAGAGGGGACATTTGGCAAATTCCTAGGGGACACAAACTGGTCTAGGACTGAGAAAACAATAGTTGAATACAATAGTTGAATACAATAGTTTGTACTATAAACATGTTTGCTTGACTTTCTATCTATTATTTAAAATTTAAATCATTTACTATTTTACTAACTATTTCGAAATTCGTGTTTTTGATAGACTTCAGTGGGCAATTTCTGTTCAGGGGACGTGGTAATTCAATCATGTGAAATCGGGGACACATGAGAAAACCAGTTGAAAACCGTTGCTTTATAACAATGGTATCAAAGATAACAAAATAAATGCAAAATAAACTAATTATTGGAAGAAAAAAAACAAAATGCGCGTGATGGCGATTATCTTTTAATCTCCAAATTACGGCAAATAGAAATATTTCAAAAGTAATTTAAATAGTATTTTTAGCTTTGGCGTTTTAATTACCTGAATGTATACAAAGTCTTGTCTTCTGTGATATTTGAAGTATTTTGTTTTTAATTCTCTTTGTTCAGAAAAAGGGTGGCAAAAATTTTCAATTCCTACAGACATTCAGTCTGTACTTTAATAAAATGAACAGTTCTTGACTTATAAAACTGAGTTGAACGGAATTTACAGAATGCGCAGAACGGAATCTACAGCATCTTTAATATGATCTATAGATTTTTTCTGTGTTGGTGTTGTGTACTCAGGTGAATAATTATGTTTGTGATGTTACTCTGAGTGTATATCCACACCGGGCGAGCTTGAAAAATATGCCCAGCCACGGTGGGAATCGAACCTACGACCTTTGGAATACTAGCCCAATGCTCTGCCAACTGAGCTACGTCATGTTCTTAGCAAATGTCCTAAAGAGAGGAATGTACCCCTGAAACATCAAATTTCAATATGTTTTCAAAAAATAAATGGCGGATTGGAAAAATCCTACACGCTGAAATAAATAAGAAGTGAGATCTCTGTATGGTATTTACTCTGTGCCATTGTCCTAGTCTCCTTCGCAGCCTCTTCGCAGGCGTGAGTTCTACCACTGCCCATAAAAAATGATATATTTAACAGTTATTCTACGAACCCGAGACGAATTAATATATTCGACGAGAGTGAGTGGAATTACTGTTTTATATCGTTCTTTCTATTTCAAAAATATGGTGGAAATACTGGCTTCTACAGTGACAAACACATTAGCCTTCATACCTCCAAAAATAAAGGAATAAAAAGCACTATTCTTCATTTTATTAACATCTGTAGTACAGTTCTCACAAGAGGTTATTTACATATGAATGTATTAAAACGTACCCTGGATCAGAGAGTTTTCTGTTTAGCAATCAATTTATCAATTAACTCGCCTGACATCAGAAAATCTCTGTCACCAAAACTACCATCCTCAAAACTGATCTCATTATCGAATGGAGTTTAATGGCTGGACCACCAGCAAATATGCAGCAGGAAAGTTTTTTAAACCAGTGTCATAAAATTGTCACATGACAATTGAAGTCAGAATACGTTGTTTTTTCTAACATTGTTGGATCAGCAATCTCTAAAACCAGGTTTCCATATGGTCTAACGGTCGCAAAGATAGAGTAACGATCTTTCTCAACGGCCAGATTACAATAATTTTTTACCTGTAAATCACATATAAATCATAAATATTCCAAAGGTGTAACTTAACACTTGCCCGGGGCAAGTGAATATCATGACGGGCAAGTAAACGTTTTATCTTGCCACAAAAAGCTGGGCAATGGGCATCTTTAAGTTTTTGTTTTCATTGTCGGATAATTTTTTTTATAGTGCATGTACTGATTCAAATTTTGTTTGTGGGCCAAAGCTAGGTCTGAGGCAGTGTAACCAAGCCATATAGAGCAGCGGGAGAACAGGTCGACATGTTGCCCCTTCATTTACAATCTCGTTCCCCGAGCCTGCGAGGCTCTGGGATAACCCGTTGCTGGAAGCCAGGAATCCTGGCTAAGATTGAACTACGCATCCATTTCAACGGCCAATCAGATTCCTCCCTGAAACGGATTATCCCAGAGCCTCGCGTTCCTTCCCGAGGATCGCAGGCTCGGGGGAACAAGATTGCTTCATTTATTCCCCCCTACCTACTGTAGGTACGCCAGTGGCCGTTGTCTGATGGCAAGTGCATTTTATTTTCATGTCCAAGTGATCAAAATTCTCTAGTTATTTTCAGTGTTAAACTGTTGTATTTCGGCTGTTTTCAGAAAGATTGTGACTCAATATTTACGACCGTTATGACCATATGGAAGCCTGGCTTAAGTGCTGAATTAGTATATGAACTAATATCAGTATATTAATGATTCTTGACAATCTACCTCACATATAAATTAATTTCAGTTGCAAACTTTGTAAAGTGTCTACAATGCAGGGTTCCCTAACTGTGTTCAAACATATTGTTACAAGTTGCATATCTTATCCAATCTGAAACCCTAATTTAGGACTGCAATGCAAATTCAAGAACATCGCTGAAGTTTTACATTGCAAGTAAATATCATGAACCCACAAAACCGTAAAAACTAATTATCATATAAACCAAAGTATAGAATTTGGTTCTAACTTTGCGACAAAAAATTGTCACTTAATAATGCAGTTAAAAACATTTTGGCAAGTAACAACCAGCCAAAAATGTGAAAGATAACTTGCTTTCCTTTCTGGAAACCAGTCCTTTGGCTATCACTGAGAGACGTCTCCACAATCCTGGTTAGAATACTGAGTATAGGCAGTGGTGGATTTATAGAGGGTGCACAGGGGCGTGGCCTTGGTCAACAGGAATGCAAGGTACAGCTAATAGGCAATTCCAGCTTTTAGTTTATGCCTGCAGGGGATGATGGGAAGTAAGGTATCATAGTGCTGATTATGCTGAAAAATTGCAATAAAAACTACCGAAAGACCTGAAATATTTCACCACCATTTCTATTTTTTCAGCATAATCAGCAATGTGATACCTTACTTCCCATCGTCCCTTGCACACATAAACTAAAAGCTGGAATTGCCTATTCAATTAAGGCTGTCCTTTCAAAGTCAAAACTCCTCGACCTCTAAGCGCGTAAAGCACGATGGACATGCATACGTGGTTGCTACTTTCCATTTTCACTTTTCTCGGATTTTATTTGCTAGTCTAACCCAATTAGCCTTTTTCCCAAAAGAAATCACAGTGCATTCTGGGATCGTTTGGAGGGACAAAATATATGGTGATAGGCGTCAAATATGTGAAAGAGTAGAAGTATCTACTATCAAAATCAACTTTTTAGACTACCAAAAATGAAATATCTCCTTTTTACATTAAACATTTAATTTAAATGTGTGATGCCATATTTCTTATCCCTCCAATATGGGGCTAGCGCGACTAGACGCAGGACTTTGGGAAATGACGAATTCAAAAGCAAACCTGCCAGAATTCATTGGATTTTTAAACTTTTTAGTGTGAAAGAAAGTTGTTTGTGTTATGTGCTTGACTCCTTTGGGAATTAAATTCACTTGATTAACACAAATGTCTAACGTTCTATTAGCCGTGGTCTAACATGTACGCATAAACAATCTCATAATAATAATGCTTTTCGTATTTAGAGGTCGAGGTTGTGCAGTTTTCTCTCGACAACCTTGAATGAATTAGCTGTATATCTTAAATGTTTGTATTGTTTGAGGTATTCAAAGTTTGTTATCTGTCTTAGACTAACTTAAGTTCTGGAACTCAACGCAGCACCAACGCACTAGTTCAACAAACTAATAAGTCCAATATTACTAATGAATTTAGTTTGATATTTTGATTGAATAAAGAAAATTCTTAATTTCGCTGCAAACGTCCAACAGTATAAGTATTTGATAATGAAAATAAAAATTAGAAAAGCAATCAAATATTGAAATGTGAAAAAAATCCATTTTCTCTTTCACACAATCACAGTATCAAGAGAATCTGGGATTTAAATTTTATGTAATTATTAAATTATATTTATTCAACGTATCTGTAAATTGTAACGGAGAAACTACTACCGTCGATTGCAACTAAGCGAAAACACGTCATGAGAAAACGCGATCTAATTGGACATGAAACATAACATGTTTGGACTTCAAAAACTTTACATGATTTTGCTGGAAACATTTGACGTTTTACAATTATTTTTTCCGCGAAAACGTAACAAAGTTAATACAAACATTGCAAACAATACTGAATTTGTCCACTATAAACGCAAAATTCACAAATTTACAGTATGTTAGAACTTCACTAAGGCTTGTTTCATACGCCGAATTTAATTCAGACGAACTTAATCACGGATTTAGTGTTTGCAAGCTAATCCCCGCCCAATATGAATGTGTTTCTAAATTTGGAATATTGACAGTGGAAACGTAAATGTTTGCAGTATAATCATGTGATGTTTGAAGTCCAAACAAATCCTGTTTGACAGCCAATTGGATCGCGCTTTCTCATGACACGTTTCTCAGTGCTTAGACCAAAAAAAAAATGTGGGTTTCCGGTTTCTTCTTATAAAAACTTAGGTAGGGTAGGTCGGTTTTAACTTTTTTTTAAACTTTTTTTTTTTAATTTTCCGAATAAGCGGACGCCATTTTGTTTAGTCAGTGCTTCCACATCCAAAGATAAATTTCCCTAATATTGCCTCAAATTTCAATTTTCCACAAACTTTTTCCTCTAAGTGGAAACACTTACAAGCATGATCCAATAAAAAAGTTTAGGGTCGGGATTTCGACGTCCAAAAGTTAGGTAGGGTCGGGAAACCGGAAACCCACATATTTTTTTTGGCCTTAGTTGCAATCGACGGTAGATGCATTTTCATGACAGTACGCTGCTGACCAGCACTGGTTTCGTTGTGCTTGGCTGATCGCCCAGCACCCCCCCCCCCCCTAAAAAAAACTTTCTGGATCCACCACTGAGTATATGAACCAATAGGATTGCATGATGACATATATAGGCGATGGTGGAACCCATCCATGTATGCCAATTATGCAAGCGGAAAACTGCTTGGAATATTAATATGAACAAGTTTGCATAGTGCATCTACATATTCTCAGCTAGCAATAAAAAGCTCTCAATTGAGAACTTACTCTTAGCGATAGCCTTTATAGTATTATCTCAGCCATGTGGTATGCTAGTTTGTCAGTGTGCAAGGTTGCAAAACAGTTCTAAATGTTTGCCGACAACCTAGATAGTATCTCTGTATAGTACATCTTTAAA